GAGCTGCTCTCAGCCCTCCGGTCTCCCAGGGAGCTCTCAGGTTAATCTCAGGAAGGAGTTTCCTGGCTCCTATCACACAAACGGCAGGTCTCTAGGGCCATGTGGAGTGATGAGGCCTTTCCCCACCATGAACTCCTGGCTTGTGCAGCAAGTGAGTACGTAGCACTGAGTTTGAATCTGTGCTCTGAGCCTCTCTCCCAGCTGACTTGTGTGAGTGCCGAGCCCAGGAGCACTGATCAATGTGCACACACACATTCATGCACGTGTACAGGCAGCTTCTACCCAAACACACTCATTGCCCCTTCATCCCTGGGGGAGCCAGAGGCTCCTTCAGGGACTTCAGCAGCTCCTCTGCATTGCCAGGGTGACCCAAGCCCTCCGAGGGGACCCAGCCTCAGAGGCCAGTAGTTGTGTACCCCTCTGACTGCTCATGGCATGGGCAGTCATCAGACCTGATGGGATCAGAGCAGGAGGCAGCTCGCACACCACCAGGCACTGCCAGGGAAGGAAATTTGTATGGTGGGATGTCTTTGTGACTAACTTGGCAGGTTCAGGCACCCCAAAGCAAGAGCCTGCTTGGCATTGCTGCTGGTTGGGGAAGTTGCATAGAGGTGAAGGAGACCTGGGGAGCCATTACCCTCAGGAGTGCTGGACAAAAGCTTTGGCTATGTGCTCTGGCACAGCACTATGTCTCGGGTGTGTTTTCTCCGCCTGTAGAGCAACTTGATTTGCTGCATTAGTAAAAATAGATGGGCTAATGAATTCAGCTGATGCAACCCTCTGTGTATGTGCATGCGTGCATGCGCTTATCTCTGTTTGTGTGTGTATGGGTGCATGTATATGTGCAGCTGAAGGCCAAGGCTCGTCTAAGGTGCATCCACCACCTCCTAGGTCTCTGACGGGGTGGCTGTGTATGTGTCTGTGTGTGTGTCCGTGTGTGTCTGGGTGTGCATCTATATATGCGTGTGTGTGTGTGTAGGAAGCCATGAGTGATGGCTGCTTGCTGCCGAGCAGCTCTGTCACTGAAGCAGTGGCTCTACAGAAATAATTTTACAGCAGCCTTGTATTCTGGCAGGGCAATAACAGGGCTTCACAGCAGGCTGGCGGGCCAGGAGGGGAACATGTAGAGACCTGGTGGTGCCACAGGAGGATCTCACAGGGACCTGGCAGGGCAATAGTGAATCCCTGCAGGGACCTGGCAGGGCAACAGCAGATCCTCGCAGGGGTCGCTGGGGCAGGGGGGTCCCACAGGAGCGCGTTTGTGGGGTGTCCTTGTAAGGTGACACAGTCCCGAGGAGGCCGGGCCGCTGTCCGCGGTGCTGAGCGGGGCCGCTGTCCGCGGTGCTGAACGGGGCCGCTCAGTAGCCTCCAAGCCTGGCTGGTCCAGTACTCACCCTTGAGCCCAGCCGCAGCGGGATGGCAGTCTCATCTGCCACAGCCTGGGGTCTCCCAGTGAGCACCCTCACCAGAGCAGCATTAACAGGGTGGCTGATCACCCTGCCCATCTCCTGGGGCCCTTATCCCTCTTCACTAACACATGGAGATGGTACACTCTCCAATGGCTTGGTTTTCCTGGCAGTTTTTGTCCTATTCTTTTCAGCATCTTCATCATCGGTGTAATGTTTGTAGTGACAGGCACTTAGACCCCCTTCTTTCTTCTCTCTTCCTGCGTCAAATCCGCCCCCCGTCACTGCATCATAGCTCATTGTGGATGACAAAACCCTCATGAATGGAGTGACTTCTCTGACAATGACGTTTCCTGTGAAATGTGCACCCTGGAGTGAATTTGGGAGACTAAAAGACTTTGCCCTTTGCTTTTGTCAGGTTTCCTCCCACCGTGGATTGGGAGCTGGCACTCCGCTGCTGGCAGACGCTTCCCCTGTGAGCTGTGGCCTGCGAGAGCAGAGGGGGGTTGCTACGGGGGGTTGCTACAGGGGGTTGCGATGCTGGGCCCTTCCTGTGGGATCCCAGAGTAAGGACTGAACTCCCCTCTGGTGGCCTTGTGGTTGGCCCGGTCACACAATCTGCAAAAAGCGAGATAACAGGGAGAGGAGGAAAGGCCAGATCTCTGCCTTCCTGCTGCTTTGGAGTGACAAAAAAGCATATGGAGGTGCTCATGGAGCTGCTGGAACATCACAGAGGCTCTGTACTGGCACCTCCAAGGCAGATGGCTTTGTATCGCCCTGTCCCACTGCTGTCTCAGTTGGAGGGAGGGTCTGGGGAAGGGCAGGGCACTGGGCATCCCAGCTCACAGCAGTTCTGATCTACAAGTGCTGTGGTAACTGCACTTTGCACACTGGAGTGGTGTGGCCTCAGCCCTGGGGTGCAGTGGCCTAGGGCGGTCTGCTTGGCTGCAGGCAGGGGCTTTCCTGCAGCAGCAGAGGGCAGATCCCAGTGCTGCCCCATAGTGCCAGAGACAGAGAAGAGAGTGGTTATCAGATCAGCTCAACTCCACAGTCTATGCCCCCAGCCTACCTTCTCCAGGCTGGGCTCCACCCCTCCCGGAGGCACAGTCCTGCTCCTTCTGCAGTGGTAGGAACCTCCAAAGTCTTGCCTGCCCATTTTCCTGGAAAGATGCAGCCATGTACAGCCAGCCTGCCTGCCCAGGCTCCTGTTGCTGCTGCCTGGAGCCTGCCTGTGCCCAGAAGGCCTGACTCTCTGGCTGTCTTTCTATTTGAAGTGACTTCCCAGCTCATTCATGGTTTGGGCTTTCTGTCAGCCAGCCAGCCAGCCTCAGTGCCCGGGGCAGGGGGTACCCAGCTCAGATTTCCAAGGCAGGACTGGGAAAGCTGCTGAATCCACTAAGCCCCCCCAAACCTGACCTCAGGGACCAGCCGAGGCCTGAGCTGGTTGTAATCATTGCCAACACCTCCGGCTGGCTGCATTTCAGCCCAGCAACTTGTCAGCATCTGTCTCCTTCCTTGACTGTCCCCTTGGGCTCCTGAGGCCCCGGGCTGCCCCTCTGCCAACACCTGCCCGCTCCCTGGGGACAGCCAACGTGCTGAACGACTCTGGCTGTGGGCTCCATGCCGGACCAACAGCCTTTCCATGCTGCCATGTAATTATCTGTTTGGATTCGTGCTGTATGGCTGTGTTGGACACCCTGGTGCATGTTCTGTTTGCTTCCCTAATTGCTGCCAAGTGCTGAGCCACTGGTTTTAAGTTTCTTCCTTCTTTCCCCTCTGCTTCTCCTGCTTTCAAGCAAATTTAACACATGTCCAAGCATCAGAGGCCCAGCTCTTCTGTCAGGCAGCGTGAGCTGCATTTGAGTGGGGAGCGGCGCCAGACTGTCTGCACAGGGCCGGACTCATCCCCGGAGGCCAGGCTCTCACAGTACCGCTGCCACCGGGCCGGGCTGTCTGCAGGCACCTCTGTGCCACTGCTGCTCACACTGTGGGAGAGACCTTGGCAGATCCCAGATCCCACGAGCCTCGTCCTGCAGGCTGGCTGTGCTGCTGGCAGCTGCCTGCGTTCTTGGGCACTTCCACAGCACCTTTTCGGTGGCTGCTCCCTTCCTCAGCTGCTCCAGGAGGGCTGGATGAGGTCAGGGATGCTGCAAGGGTGAAAGTGATGAGCTGGGGGCAGCGGGGAATCTAGGCTGCACCCCACTTGGCAGCCATCCGCCTCGGGCTGCAAGGAGAATCCTCAGAGCCCACGGACCTCGGATGTGAGCATCACCGGCCAGGATGCTCCTCCGTCTGTTCCCCTCCATCAGGGTCTGGCAGTCTCCATCCCAAATCAAGCGGCTAAAATAATTCCCTCACTTTTATCTTGGGTCCAAGGGGAGCTGGCGATGGAAAACGTCCTCAGGTCCCATCAGCCGCTGCCTGACGGACATGCTGGCTATCCCTCGGGGCTTGAGGACTGTATCTCTGACCCCTGGTCCCTGGTCTGGAAGCCACATCCCCGGGCTCCAGCAGTTCCTTGCCTTGTCCCTGGGGACTGCCAGAAGCCCAGCACCTTCCAGCCGCAGACCCATCAGGGTTTGGCACAGCCCCGGCAAACAGGGTGCAGGCAGGACAAGCAGCGCACCGGCAGGGCCCCATGCCAGGCATCGGCTGGGGCAGGAGCGGGGGGGCAAGCTCCCATCAATTATTCACCTCGGTATTTATAGAGGGAAATGTGTTGAATAATGGATGGCCTGACTGGCAGAGAGAGTGCGAGCAGCTCTGCTCTGCCACCGCTGTCCCCTCTCTCTTCCACAAAAATGACCTGAGGGCTGGAACACCTCTGCTATGAGGAAAGGCTGAGAGAGTTGGGGTTGTTCAGCCTGGAGAAGACTCTGGCGAGACATTACTGCGGCCTTTCAGTACTTCAAGGGGGCCTACAAGAAAGATGGGGACAGGCTTTTTAGCAGGCCATGTGGTGACAGGACAAGGGGGAAATGGTTTTAAACTAAAAGAGGGTAGATTTAGACTGGATATAAGGAAGACTTTTTTTATGATAAGGGCAGTAAAACACTGGCACAGGTTGCCCGGAGAGGTGGTTGATCCCCCCTCCCTGGAAACATTCAAGGCCAGGTTGGACGGGGCTCTGAGCAACCTGATCTGGTTGAAGATGGCCCTGCTCGCTGCAGGGGGGTTGCACTAGATGACTTTTAAAGGTCCCTTCCAACCCATACCAGGCTGATCCTGCTCCTGCTCCTGCTCCTGCTCCCATTTGGTGGCTGGATCCGGGCTCAGAGAGGGATGTGAATGTCCAGAGACAAATTCCTGTCTGTCCCCTATCACAAGGGACACCAGCACCACACAGCCCCTTGGAGGACCCTGCTCTGTGCCCTAGGCATGTCCCCTCTATGGCTGTCCCCAGCAGCTCTGCACCACCTGGTTCCCCATGCCACCCTGCTCCCAGCACAGGGAGCCCTAAGGTCTCCCTCCCCACTGGTGCCACGACTTGCCCAGCCCTGTCTGCCCTCCCTGCCCACTCTCCCTGCTGGGGGTCCTGGTGCAGGCTGGCAGCCCCTCAGCCGCATCTGTACATTGCAGAGAGACCTGTGGAAGATGTCGAACCCAAGAAATGGTGACACCAAGCCCCCATGTTTGCCCCGCAATGGACTGGTGATTTTATAGCAACTTAAAGGAGTTGCTCTAATTCTTTTAGAAGTATAAACGTCAATTTGTTATTTCCTGTGCCAGCCTTCCTCTGTGCCTGCCATCCTCAGTCCGGCCTTAGCCCACCGCAGCGACCTGCCCATCCCCAGCCTGGCCTCCCCGCTCTCCTTGGCCGCTCTGGCCAGCGTCTCCTCCCCTCCCAGTGCTTCCTTGGTGGGACTGAACACGAGCGAAGCCTCGGAGCAGCCCTCACCGGAGCGGCTGCCTGGCTCGCCCTTGGAAAGGCAGCTGGCAGTGGACGAGAAGATCCTCAACCGCTTGTTCTGGTACTTTTCGGCATGCGAGAAGTGCGTGCTGGCGCAGGTGTGCAAGGCGTGGCGGCGGGTGCTCTATCAGCCCAAGTTCTGGGTGGGCTTGACGCCCGTCCTGCACACCAAAGAGCTCTACAACATCCTGCCTGGTGGCGAGAAGGAGTTCATCAGCCTGCAGGGCTTCGCCGTCCGTGGCTTCGATGGCTTCTGCCTCGTGGGCGTCTCTGACCTGGACATTTGTGAGTTCATTGACAACTACCCCCTCTCCAAGAAGGGGGTCAAGTCCATGAGCCTTAAGAGGTCGACCATCACGGACGCAGGGTTGGAGGTAGGTGACCCCGGCAAGGTGGCCAGGGTGGCTGAGATGTGGCAATGATGGGTTTTCCTGATGGCCCTAGGGACACACGAATGCCAGAGCTTTCACCAGCCACAAGCAAGGAGTTGGCAGGCAGCATGTCCATCCCATGGGTGCAGGTAGCATCGGGAGCCCCTGCCTGTGGTCTGGGCAGCGGGAAGGGCTGAAGCCTGCCCTGCCTTCCTGGGTGGGGGATGAGGATGCTGTTGGGAGCGGGGGTTCATCACTGTTGCCTGCAGACGCCACCTGTGGATGCTGTCCTCACCCATCCTTGCTGGGAAGGCAAAGCCATTTGAGGTGGCCATGCTCCTGGGTGGTGGATGTGCCAGTGGGAGGTGAGCAGGACTCAGGGGATGGGGACAACCCCGCTTGGGTGGCTGCTCGCCAGTGCCTAAGATGGAAATTTGGCAACTCGTGGTCCTGCATTGGGCTCGGCAAGGTCCCCACTGAGGTCCCCTGTCCTGCACCACGGCCAAACATAGCACCAGTGGCCAGCCATGGCCACATCCTACCCAAGCAGTGTCCAGGCTAGGAGTGGGCGGTAATCCTGCCCCCACCAACAGCTCAGAGGGAGCTGGGGTGAGGGTGCTGGGCTGCACTGAGTGAGCAGCAGGGCCCACCATGCCCTGACCCCCTGCCCCTTGGCAGGTGATGCTGGAGCAGATGCAGGGGGTGGTGCGGCTGGAGCTGTCGGGTTGCAATGACTTCACGGAGGCCGGGCTGTGGTCCAGCCTCAACGCCCGCATCACGGCACTGAGCGTCAGCGACTGCATCAACGTGGCCGACGATGCCATCGCCGCCATCTCACAGCTCCTGCCCAACCTCACTGAGCTCAACCTGCAAGCCTACCACGTGACGGACACGGCGCTTGCCTACTTCACCGCCAAGCAAGGCTACACCACCCACACCCTCCGCCTCAACTCCTGCTGGGAGATCACCAACCACGGCGTGGTCAACATGGTCCACAGCCTGCCCAACCTGAGTGTCCTCAGCCTCTCGGGCTGCTCCAAGGTGACAGATGATGGCGTGGAGCTGGTGGCTGAGAACCTGCGGAAGCTGCGCAGCCTCGACCTCTCCTGGTGCCCTCGCATCACCGACATGGCCCTGGAGTACATTGCCTGCGACCTGCACAAGCTGGAGGAGCTGGTGCTCGACAGGTACAGGGCTGTGCCGAGCCATGCTGAGCCATGCTGCACCATGACAAGCCATGCTGAGCCATTCCGAGCTGTGCCAAGGCATGCCATGCCATGATGAGCCATGCCATGCCATGCCATGTCAAGACATGCCATGCCATGTTGAGCCATGTCAAGCTGTGCCTCATCATGTTGAGCCATGCCAAGCCATGAAGAGCCATGCTGGGGGTGGTGGGTGCAGCGTGGGGGCCCCGCTCCCGGCCGTCCCTGACACCCCATGTCCCCGGCAGGTGCGTGCGGATCACTGACACCGGCCTCAGCTACCTGTCCACCATGTCGTCCCTGCGGAGCCTATACCTGCGCTGGTGCTGCCAGGTAGGTAGGGGAACAGAGCTATGCCCACTCCGGCTGGCACGGCGGGGAGCGCAGAGTGGCTGGCACCTCCCTGGGGACAGGCCATGAGCTCAGCGTGGGCATCCTGGGCCAGCCAGAGCCCCTGCGACTTGGTGCTGGGAAGCATGGAAGGGATGGGGTGCTCCTGTGAGCTCAGCAGGACTTCGCCCTAGCACCAGACCCCAGCATCCTGCCCCTGCACCCAGCACCCTGCCCCAGAATCCTGCACCATGTCCAGGCAGCCTGTCCCCGCACCCTACCACTGCTCCCCGTCCAGTACCCTGCCCCTGCACCCAGCCCCTGCACCCAGCTCCCAGCCCCCTGCCCAGGCACCCCGCCCCAGCAATGCTGAGTCCCCGGTACCGCAGCAGCCACCCCCCGTGGAGCCCCTCCTTGTCCTCCTCCTGCTCCCACTCCAATTTCTTTTCCAGGTGCAGGATTTTGGCCTGAAGCATCTCCTGAGCATGGGCAGCCTGCGCCTTCCTGGGCCGCCCAGTCCCCCGCACCCGGCGCTGCTCCCGGGGATGGGTCCGTGGCTTGGCTCTTGGCGTGCTGGGGTTTCTTTGGGTGCTGATTTTTGGGGTTTTTTTTTTTGGGGATGCTGGTGGTTTGGGGTGTTGGTTTTTGGGATGCGGGTGTTTTAGGGTTTGGGTGTTTTGGAGTGCTGGTTGTTTGGGTGCTGGGTTTCGGGGTGATGGTGTTTTGGGGTGACAGTGCACCCTGTCTCCTTGCAGGCTGCCCCTTGCTGACCACCACGGGGCTGTCAGGGCTGGTGCAGCTGCAGGAGCTGGAGGAGCTGGAGCTCACCAACTGCCCCGGGGCCACCCCGGAGCTCTTCAAGTACTTCTCCCAGCACCTCCCGTGCTGCATGGTGATCGAGTAGCGCCCAATCCGGCCGCCCTGCTCCCACGCCCACTCCACTGCCGCCCCGGCCAACAGCGCCCACCCCATTTCTTTCCGTCTGCTGGGAGGATGCAAAAGACACCTTCGATTAAGCTGACTCCGGACACCCCCCACATCGATGCCCCAGAGGGACAACGGGCTTTGGGGGGTGATGGGGGATGGCGTCGCCCCTCGCCGGAGCCTCCCTGGGTACCCTGTAAATTCCCCCCATACCGCCGCCATCACCCGTCCTCCTCCTGGTGTCTTGCCAGTCCCTTCTGGACAGACAAACGGACGTCATGGAAACCCAAAGTGGGAAGGCGACGGCAGCGTAACCCTCCCCTGGCTGCACCCTGCTCCCCACTCCGGTGCCAAGCGGGCACACGGTCCCCCTGCCAAGGATGCTCCTGGGGACCAAAGGATGCTCCCAGGGATGGGCGAGAGGAGGATGCTTATTTTTGGCACCCATGGGTGGTGGCAGAGGCTGGATGGTCCCCCTTGCACCCCCAGAGCAGGTCACCAAGCTGCCCCCCCTGTGCTGCGTGTCCCCCCCAGCACCCCGGCCCTGCCGTTGGGGTGCCCGGCGCTTTCTCCTGGTGAATAGGATGTTTCTCTCCTCCCGCCTGCCCACCCGCCACCCTCGCATGCTCGCTTGCTTCAGTCTCGTGGTATGGCAGGGGCCCCGGGAACCCGGGGGGGCGGGGGC